GAATATTGATTTTTACTATAAGAATTTGGAATTAACTAAAAACAAACAAACAACCTCATGGGAAACAGACTTATTTTGACTATCATGGCAATTTCAAGTCATAACAACAAATGATGATTTTAGAAACTGGACACTAGAGGGGACTAAATATTTTAAGCAGAAGAAAAAAAAATACAAACCTGATGTCAGTTACTACTCATACTTACAAAATATTACACCATCAGAAATATTAAAGGAATCTTTGAATAACGGAGTCAGAAGTTAATAACTACCGGTACAAACACTGTCAGTAATGACGTCTGCCTCTATGCATAAGACTATATTTGACAGATGTTACTGAAGGAATGGCAGACTTGGGATAAATTTTATTTGACAAGATACAGTAGAGGAAATACAGAATGTGGAACTACAAAAGAGAATGATTTGGAAAAAGGTATTTTACTGGATATGCAAAAACAAACAAATACTGGCTAAAGTTTTAAAAATAAACCCAGGGAGATACAAATGATAATAAATTTGGAAATTTATTGCTTATTGGATCCAAAAAATAAGTTTGTTAAAGCTTTGAAGAATTTGTGTGACAGGATAAAGAAGAATTGAAGACAAATCAATTCCTACAGCAATATTTGATTGAATTAAAGATTAAAACTGTTAGAAGTAAAAGATACACAAATAAAGTTGATTTATGTGATAAGTGTTAAAAAAGGCTATTTTTTTACAATGTTTTTGGCAACTCTTTATAGACATTTTGCTGACCCCACAATTGAAAGGTTGATATTTTATGGATTTGCTTATATATAAGGAATGAGATATGGAGTGAAGAGTTCTTAAATTTATCTATAGTTTATGTCAACTCTACAAGTGACCATGACTGCAGCCATTTTCCTTCTCATTCTAGGTTGCAACATAGAATGGAGTGAGGGGGGTTGTCCACATGATTTGTTAGTCAAAATAATCTTTTATCCCATGGGAACCAAGGTCATCGGCTGCTCCCGAGACCAGGGACTGGGCATTGCATAAAATCCCGCCAAATAATCATATTGGGGAATGTAATTGCTTTATGGGCCGGACATTTAACTTTGCATTGGGAAATTGTTACTTGTGTATTCAGACTTGGTTACACTCTTGACTCTGCTGATATTTTGTAACTAATAAACATGTTCTTTGAGGAATTTGCAAGCCTCTGAGTTTTGCTTTATTTGTCTCTGCATGACATTTTGTTGTGATCAAGGAAGTATATTTTTATATATTTTTCTTTTTTAATTAGATTTCTTTCTTTTGCTTTTTCCTTGCACTTTTTATTCTTTCTTTCTATTCTCTTCTAAGTGCTGTTTGTATTAATTTTTACCATTGTAATTAAAATTCTTAATAAGCATGTTTATTGTCACTTTTTCTATGCATACTCAGGCACACATTGAAAATGAAATTCTGATGCTCAGTCTCAAAAGAATATAAATGTATATACATAAATATATATACACCCATACAGATACATATGCTGTACATACACACACACACATACATCTATAGTCCACTTTGAATACATAGCAGAAGAAAGATTCTGAAATTTAACAAAGTTGATACTATATGGTTCAAAGCCATTTTAGAATCTAGTTGTTCTGCTTCAGATACCATAAAAGCCTTCTCCCAGAAGATAACAAAGAAAACTGGTCATGGAGAGGATGTGTACCATCCCAGGCAATATTGCGGACTGTGATTAAGCAGTGCTTATATGCCATGTTCATGCCATGTAAAAATTATTATTAAAAATAAAATAAAAATTATTTGGGGAAAAGATTGATAGCAGGCAATATAATATGTTTAATAGTCTGAAAATTCATAGCTCCACAGTGAGGGAGATGAACGGTTAAGACGTTTGATGTATAAATAAATAAATAAATAGATTAATTAATTAAATCTTTAATAGAAGGAATCTGCAGCATATTTTCAGTGATACTAACTTGGAAGGAACTGGAGACACTTTAGAAAACAGGTTAAAAATCTCAAGCCAAGAAAGCTGGACTGACAATAATAGAATAAAATCGAAGGAGGACAAGTATTCAAGGAAAGGGCACACAATGGCACAAGGAAAATGAGGAGATTACTGGCTAGGCAGAAGTGCTGCTGCAGAGAAAATGAGGTAGGTGGGCAAACAGCACATAATCTGGCAAAGTGATGATGTGGCCATTTGGATTTTATTAGCTAGATATGCAAGGGAAAAAAAAATCCAACACCTGAGATATAATTGAAGCCCAGTTCTCATCAATTCCAAGAGCGTCCATGAAACTTAAATTTGGCCTTTGAACTTTTCCTATTCATGGGAATATTTAGATTGAGTGAATGCAGAAGAGAAAACAGAAGGGAAATATTTGCTAATCAGTGCAACCAGGCATTTTACATTATAAATGAAATAATGCAGGATATGCTTTAAGTCTTGTGTATAGAAATAGATGACAGCTCCACCTGGATTCATCTCTTTGGCTTGGATTCCTGCAAGTTAAATCTAATGTTGATAAACTGGAAGCACTGAAAGGGAATCCATTACAAGATGATTAAATCTGAGACTTGAAGTTAACCTCTTTTTTTGAAAGGTTAGGGACAAAAGTCACAGGCTGCAAGGCTACTCATTTGTTTAAAAACAAAAATTGCCTGGCAGAGTTATCGGGCTTACAAGCTGGATTCAGACTAATACTTTACTCAGGGACTGTCTTTGTCTAAGTCACAAAACCTGATTAGTTTTAAGCAAGATTTAGCTGGTTTATGACTTCATATACTGGGTGAATCTCCTATATGGGTTAATTATGCTATATAATCACAATCACAAACATGCCAACATGCAGGTGGGTAGTATGTAGTAGTTGTGTTGTAGGAACCCAACTTCTGTCTTCTGAAGGTGAGATCATCATGTCAATTCACAACATGGTTTTTCTTTCCTTCTTCTTTCAAAGTTTATTCTACTTCCAAACCAGTGTTTAATTTAATTGTTCAATTTGAAAATCAGATTGGTCTAATAAAGTGCTGACCTAGACACCAAGAGACTGTGAGTCTAGGCCTCCCATAGTCTTGAAAACCAGCTGTGTGAATTTGGGCCTGTTGCACTCACAGGGTTGGTTGGTGAGCTAAACAAATATAATATTTATTTATTTATTTGGACAAACCTACCTCTGCCTCTAACCTGTTATATGAACATAACCCAGACTTTGGATTTAGTACAGAACTAGCAAAAACAATGAATGAGACCTGTCAACATCCCTTTTCTTGCCAGCAAGCCACCTTAGAGAAAATAAACATTTGCCTGATTTTTGCATTTGGTGGATCTTGTGGAGGCAAAAAGCAAACACTTTATCCATTTAGGACCATTGCCCTTTACATATTTCACAAAGCCTTGTGGAGTCCTAATGTCTTAAGTTATCTTAGCATGTTTGGGGAACCAAAATAGGTAAAAGGAAAAGTCCCTATAGAAGTTGTGTGAAAACTTGGTCAGAGTTTGCTTTCTTCCAATAAGAAACATGAACAGAAGCATGTTTACTCTTATCTGACTTGTAGCACACCAGATATTGCTGAACTGCAACTTCCAGTTACCCTGCCAGCCTAGCCAAGAATAAGGGATGCTGGAAGTTATGATTTAAAACATACAGTGTTTTAAAAGTCATCAGTCATCATTGTGCCAAAACAACAGGAATGAGGACAGGTTTTATATCACTTCAGCAATGGCTGAATGTACATATCAAAAACCTGGGAAACAGAATGGATGAGAGATTACTAATAGTAATGCAGAATACTAAGGCTAATGCAGATCTAAAGACTGTACAGAAGAAGACCAGGAAAGATTGGTTCATCTTTTAATTATTTTTGAAGAACATCACAAAGAGCAAGAGATTTAAATGATACAAAACCAGAATTACTCAGAAAATGTATTAGGTTCAAGTTGTAGAACATCCCTTTGCTTAATAATCTTTCTTCTATTAAGCAGGGAATGATGCAGCTTTATCCAATGTTGTTTAGACATCCTTAAAATTCAAGTGGTTTTGGAAGCAGGTAACCATAAATTGTTTTTTTAAAAATATATATATATATTTATTTAAAAAACTGAGTTAAGTCCCCTTTTTGAAGCTGCAAAACTCCTTTTGACTACTAAACTCTAGAAGAACTTTTTTTTCATCATTTGGAGTCAGGGATATAAGTCCCGTAAAAGCATTAATATAGTTTCAGACAACAGAACTTTCACACCAACAACAAAAAAAAGCCTTCAATCTACTTTGCAACATTGTCCTGCTCATTGTGGCCCTTGAGCGCACCAAAAGATTGCCCATCCTATTTTTCAGTCTTCTAGGTACAATGAAAATCTTGGAAATGGTTTGCTTCTAGATATATCACATTGGTTGCTGATGAATTTAAATTTGGATCCAACTCTTCTATTCTTATTTCAACTCCTCCGGAGACCCCCACATTCAGGTTCATCTGAGCAGGGATGGAACAGGCATCCCTTCTGCTCAAAGGGAACTCCAGGTGTCCAAATCCACCAAATGCCTTCCTCAAATAGGTGGCCTCTAGATGTGCTGCACATTCTAGCCCATCATCCACAGCAGATGAAAATGGGAGAAGAGAAAGAGCACAAGGAAGGTTAAAGAAGCAGCCCTCCCCCTGCAGCCAGCAAGTCCATAGTAAGAGAAAATCCACACTGATCTTAAATAGGGGAGGGGGGATGGCAGCAGGAGGGCGAGGGGAGAAAATGAGAGAGGGAGGGAAAGGGAGAGTTTATCCGAGGAGATCCAAGTACGGAGAAGCAAAGTCAAATGGGGGAGTCTCCATCTCCTCCTAGTACCCTCACAGCCCATATTTGGGGAAGGCGGGGGTCATGTTCTGCCATTCAAATGGCAGCAACCGCCCAATCTCGGTTATTAGATAGGGCAGGATGGGGATGGGGGGGGGGACCGGAGGCTGTCCTTAGATCGAGCCCTCCCCAAGAAGGGGCGAGTGGAAGCAGGTGGGGGCGGAGGCTGCCGCCGCGACATTTCTTTGCTTCTAGTTTAGCCTGCTAATGCTGCGGGAGATTCCCGGTGGCCGGACGGAGGAGAAGAAACGAGGGGGGAAGGATCTGCAGAGCCATGGAACGGCGGGGAATGCTGCAGGTAAGAGGCTGATCGTGCTTAAAGAACCCGGCCGGAGCAGAGAGAGAGAGAGAGTGAAGGATAGATGCTCAACCACCCCACAACCCACGCCTGGGCTTCGGGCATGCCACCTCAGTCAACTTTCCAGCCCTAGGGTACAGGGAGGGGGTTGCGCAGAAGGGGAAGCCGGTGAGAGGCAAAAAGATAAAAGCGGAGGGAGGATCACCTGGGATGCTAGGGGTGAGAGAGATTCCTCTCCTTCTCAGAAGGGATGTTAGGGGCAGTTATAGAAGAAGACGGAGCCCCCCTCTATTTGTTCTCCTTCCCCTGACAGCCTTGTAATCCTGCTGTCCACCCTTCTCCTTGCCTTTCTTCTTGTCTTTTGCTTTTTCTTGGGGGTGGGGTGAAGGGAGAGAGGAAACAAAGCAATTATGTATAGTTATAAACCAGGATCAATTCCACCCCTCCTTCCCTCCCTTCTCTTCCCCCCCTCCCTTCCTTAGGAGTCCTTAAAAAATGCCAGCCCAGCTTTTGATACCTGAGTTTTGGATAAGTGTTTTTACCAAGCCCTGCCTCTGATTGAAAGAGTTAGCCAAGGGAGGAAATTCAAAATAGTATTCATGACAAAATCTTGAATTAAGGGAAATTAACCTGGGAGAACTATTCCCTGCCATTCCACACTTAATCATCGCCAGCAGAGATTAGACTTTCTGCCTGGTTAGATATAAGAGGCTTCTGATACTGAATACAGAAGTGTGGGTAAAGCTATTAGGAAGCTATGGATCTGCAGTCAATTGTTTGGATGCTCCATTCTGCAAGGCAAAAATCTCTGCCTTCTTCCAGTGTGTTGTTGATAAAGTTGTCTTTGGCTGTGGAGGCTCAGCACTAAGCCCTGTCTTACTGTATAAGATCCAGGGCCAGCTGGGCATTAAAACATAGTAGGGATGCAGAGAAATCCCAAAAAAGTCTTTTCTCCTAATGATTTTCAGATGTGTGACCTTCAGAGAATGCATTACACTTGAATATGGATGCTTGTGAATCTGAAAGTCAGCTCCAAGTGGGAATGATCTGTAGGCAGCCCATCATCATGGGAAGAGCTCCTTATGTTTCCTTGACCGAGGGAGCAAATAAGGTGGATGGTGCCAGCAGCAACACTTGGAGCAGTATTGGGTGGCTGCATTTGCTTAGTATTTTTATTTCCCGTGATAACTCTCTGAACAATGAGAAAGTATTTGGGAAAAGTTAAAGGTGGCTAGGCCATCTTGTAAAAAAAAAAAAAGTGGTTGGAGAAGTTATGGAGAAGCAGGTGCAGTGTGGTACTGCAAATTTAAATACTCAGCTAGAAAAGGCACTGCTACAGATGCCATGCACATTTAGATTCCTTTCTCCTTAAATGGTGCTTCCCAGTTGGATTGGGATTTCAATTCCCAGAGGTCCAAGCATACCAGCTTGCAAATTGAGGTGGTTCTAGTTGAACGTGATTCTGTCAAGATAGGACACTAGTTAGAAAATGTACTTAGCCATGGCACATTGAGAGAACACTGCTCTAGAACTCTGATCCACAATTGGGTCTTGAAAGGAAGAAAATATGTTAGTGAGTCAACTAATTTGGTAAGCAAATTCTGTCATCTCTGGTACCCTTTTCATTGAAAAATCCATAGTAAACTTTCAAGGAACAGTTTACATTCAAGCTTTCACACATTGAGAATTGTTTGAGAGAAGAGTTCATTTCATCTCTCTGTATCCACATGCATTGGGGGAAGAAGTCTGCAATGAAAACTTGCTGTATGCATGTGCTCTTCCCTGTAACTTAGAAAGTTGATGGCAACATTCAAAATTCTATTCAGCTGAATTACTAAGAGGATCAGGATATTTTTCTTACAATAAAAAATCATTTTCAAGGTTCCAGAACTGGATTTTGCTTGTTATTGGGTACTCTATTTATGCTCATGAAGATTCCCCTCTAAATCAGTGGGACCTATTATGACCCAGTGAGGACTGGAGATTTCTGTACTTCACTTTGAACAGAAAATGATACTGTATAATCACAGCAAAATTACCAGTAATATTAAATATGATTTGATAATTGCTGAAGGAAAAAAATCCATGCATTTAATACCTTCTATATACTGTAACTTATACATACCGTGTGATACTATAATGTTCTGAATTCTTCCCTTCAACTAATTAGCTACAGAGGGGAAATCTAGAATGCTATAATATCTGGACACCGGTGAGTTATCTTTTTGGAAAGAAAAATCAGAAATCAAAAGAATGATTGGTAAGAACCTTGCTAGCTACAACCATGCATTTTATGAAATTTGGTTTTCTCTTTAGTATCCTACAAGGTATGTTAAAATGTCAAGCACCAAAGTACAATATAGTCAAATTTCAATACATGTTAGAGAAGAAGGGACGTAGCAGAGTAGAGGTACATTCACTTTGCATGCAAAGTCTGTAGCATATTCAAGTCTACTGGGAGAGACTCACTACCAGCAAGTACAGAAGAGGAATGGGCAGTCTACTTTGGGACAAGACTTTAGAACCTCAAGATGCCCTTTACTGTCTCCATGGAACCTTTCTGACCCCAAAGCCATTGCTATAAGTACATATGATAGCAGAGGCTGGTACTTTCCTTTGTAGTATGCTGGCTTCCTATTTATTTTTTAAAATCAAAATGATCTTTAAAAATCAGTGGAGCAGAAAAGCTGATGCACACAAAACAAGTTGTCTGCAGGCACCATATTGCTAAACTAGAATTATCACTGGTCTAGTTCAATATAAGACAGCCCCTTGTGACATTCATATCGGCACAGTGCTGAGTGGTTTGAAAATAGGATTTCACTCTTGTTATAGATTAGAATTCATATTTCTATAAAAAGGCTGATCACACATGTTTCATTCAGTTAATTCAAATTAGCACGGTAACAAACATGTTGGTGGATAGTAAAATTTGTCACAGGGAAGTGATGCCTAAATATGGATCGGAAGCAACAAGTGAGATGAGCTATTGCTTTCTTCCCATGTTTTCCACTCTGTTCTAACCTCCGTTGCAATGTTAAAGAATGCTTCTCTGAAAATGAGATCTTCTAGAATTTGGAGGAAATGCTGTTGGTTCCATCCCACACCATTCTAGTAACTATTAGAAGCTAGAGCAATATGGACAGGACCAATTGCATTTTTTTCTTCTAGATCTATGGCTACATTCTGGTTGAAAGGCAACAATGAAGAATGGATCCATGTCCCAGGATTCCAATAGTTATAGAAGTGACTCTCATACTTAAATATGTTTGGGATACAGTATTGGGAACTGTTCTTTTTTAATGATAATAGAGAAGGAAGGATGGATATAATAAGCCGCATGGGTATGAACAGAGCTTTCAAGCATTATTATGATGGGAAGAGGCCCGAGGAAATAGCTTCCCACCGTTATGAATGACTTCCAAGATTTCATTTCTGCCAAGGATCATCTCTAACACTATTTCTCTTTTAAAAGTTCTATTCTGGAATTGTGAACTAACAAGTACCTATGAGTATGTCCAGAGGACATCTGAGCATCTGCACAATGTTGTTACTGATTAATTACAGTCTGCTTCAGAACCTCTGGGATGTGGTGGGAATAATATCAAATCAGGCAGGTTTAAGCTTCAGCATCTCTCATCTTCAAAACTGTTTCAAATGGCAATTTCCCATTTGCACATTTGAATTAATGTATTTTGCATAATCCACATACATCAATTATCCTTTGTGCAAATACAGTTTGCAGCATTTCCCTACATGAATTCCTTCTGAATTGAGACAGGCATTAATATATGCTAATTAATAATGGCAGCTATTTTTATCACCTGCAAAAGACTTCCTTTTTCTAGAGAATTCCACATTCAGAAGATTGCACGAGGGTGACCATAGAAGCTCTTGAATGTCTCCTGGCAAAGAATGCAGCTGGATATGGGTCCACTGCAAAGATGGAATGATGTGATCATTTGAAAGGAAAAGCATAATTCCTGGTGATCCACTTAACTGATTTGTATTAGTAGGATAATGATAGTGGTGGTAATAATGACAATGATAAAACAATGAAGCATTGTATGATATACCAGAAATTAACCTACAATTCACCATCATAGCCTCCATCTCATTCATCTTTACCTTATTTGGAGTGGGATAGGATTAATAGATTTAAAAGCGAAATTTAGATTGTCAAAAGGGGCCAACAGTGGGCTGTAACAGGGATTTCATTATAAAATTGCTGCTGCTGTTGCTACGTAGCATTTTTCCATATTAAAACACATTATATGCATTCTTTTAGAAATTCTTACACATCTTGGAAAAGCAGATCAATATTTTCTCATAAGGGGCAATGAAGAAATTGGAGTTATCACAATAGCTTGTTTGGATCCAGTGACTAGATTCATTACCAAGGTCTTTAGTAAAATATTGATTCATTCACACACATACATCTGTTGTACTCCTTAAGGTTAACGGGAGACAGGAAACAGAGTGAAGGACAGATGTATCAGCTCTTTTCATTGCCAAAGTCTATGAAACTGAGCTGTTACAGAGGGAAAGCTATAGATTTCAAATGACATCCTTGAACTGCACTTTTCTTATTTCTGAGATTTGGGATTAGCACAAATAAGGCAGAAGACAAATCCTGAAGGATAGTCCTCTTATACACCTATCAACATGAACATTGGACATATTTCACTGCAGAAATTCTTTGTGAAAATCCCACTGGAAAGAAGGAAAGTATGAATGAATTTTGCCCAAAGGGTTATTATAACTGTCTGCCTTCCCAAACTGCTGGCCCAAACTGTATCTAATCTCAATGGAAGCTGATTGCAAACGACCCATTTGAGGTGGGGGTGGGATGGTTGCCTGATTTTGGAGGAGGTTTCCCTGACCTTCTTTTGCAAGCCATAACATAACAGAGGGACTGCCCAGGTTTTTCTTTACATAGCTAAAAAAGAAAGTTGTCAGTGTCCCAATTTATCCAATCTCTTCTCCATTCCAACTGCAAA